TTCGCATTCCAATCGCCAGTGATTATCAATGCATGTTTGATTGCATCTTTGATCAATTTCAGACTGCAGAAGTTGGTAAAAGCCTTCAATTTCTTCATCCTTGGCCTTAGTGGTTGGTGCATACATTTGAATAGTAGTCATATTAACCAATCTTCCTCATAGGCATATGGATATTATCCTATCACTGACAGCTTACTTCAGGATAGATCTTGAAATGTTCTTTTTGACAATGAACGTGATGCCATTCCTCTTCAGTTTGACTGGTATTGGCCATTTTGAATCAGACAATCATATTGTCTACTATGCCAGGAATGACAAATTGAAGAGATGCCTAGGCGATGAAAACCATACAGGAGCATCATTCATGGTGTGAAATAAAATTATAAGCTTTTGCTTTATGAAAACAGAGAGAGTTCTCTTGCTCATGACACTAAAGATCATCTTATTAAATGTCAGAAACCTACGTGCTGTATAATCATGTATATATAATTTTGAAAGCTTACAGTCATACCTCAAATGGTAACTATCCTTTAGAAGCAGCTTGTTTTGTTTCACATAATTGTATTTAGGTGATTAGGCTCACTGAAACACTTGAAAGAGAGTCTTTCAGAAAATAATGGAAGATTAATGAACATGCCTGCTTCCAAGACTCCCAAAACCAAACCCACTGCCGTCGAGGCAATTTGGACTTATACCGACCCTATAGGACACAGTAGAACTGCCCCATAGGGTTTCCAAGGTTGTAAATCTTTATGGAAGCAGACTGCCCCATCTTTCTCCCACAGAGCGGCTGGTGGGTTCAAACAGGGATTGAACCCCTAACCTTTCGGTTAGCAGCAGCCAAGCACTTTAACCACCGCGACACCAGGGCTCCTCTCCAAGACTCCAGAGGTCTTGTAATCATGGCTCGCTGATCTTGTGATTGTCTTAGCTAGGTTTCTATTTTTCTGTTGTTTATAATGTTTGAACGCATACTGCTCTATTATAAGATTTATGTATTCTAACATAATCTTCAATCAATTAAAAATGTTTTGTTCGAAGTTCCTGATGAAAATCTTAATTAATCAGAGCACTGATTTAATCAGTAATGACATGCTGCCCCACTTTAAAATTGTTATTAAACCTGCAGAGCAATCTGCTACGGTGTTGTGAGTTGCTTATTTTTGACACTGGTCAGAACTGCAGGCATAGGCCTTGGCAGAAATCCTCAGGCACATCGGTGAGGCTGACCATACACAGAGTCCAATGAAGTGATAGCAAAGGATACTTGCTTCATGAGTCATTCCTGCAGTGCCCCCTTAACAAGTATTCCTCAGCGAAATGTTCTGGAATAGGTAAGCCACAATGCTCTCAGACTCTCTGGGAAAATGAGACTTCAAATCTGTCTTTATGATGTTCTGATCTGAAAATAAATGAACACAGCTCAGAACAGAATAGGATTGAATAAGCCTTTTATATTCATGCTGTGTAAGAAATCATGTGTGCACATACACAACTATAAATACACAAAAGCTCTCTTGTTCTCTGCTTCAAACCCTCTTTACCTGACCCATGAGGAAAGCCTTGGCCGCCCCTGAAAAGTTTCTAAAGACCCCATTAGAGAAGAGAGAGGTCTGTTAAGGTCAGTGATACAGAGTAATGAATCTCCAACCCTTGGTTTTTCTCAACTCCTCCACTAGCCAACTCCTCCTGAACGTGGTCCTCAATGCTCCTCTTCTCCATCTCAAAATTCTGCAGGGTCAAGAGGGAGATGGGCCAGATCTCTTTCTACTGCTGAAAATGATTCCTACCAAGAGGGTGAACAGAAACTAGAAAGGAGATTCTCAGCAAGGAAGAGGATGCTGACCTAGGCAATGATGTGAATGAGCCAGGCTCTGCCTGAGCAGCGCTTTAATCTCTGTTCAGTCCTCCCCACCTGCCATTACCACTGCCCAACATGCGCACAGGCACACCTACCAAGTCCTTTTCTAGTTTCGTCAGGCAATGGGCAACTGCCTCTTCCAGAAAACTCCTCTCCCAGATCAGTCAGGGCTTCCTTCACTGCTTCATACCCACACAACACCACTATGGGCTTCATGCCAAAATACATAGTGAACAGAAGGCCATAGGCTTTTCAGAACTGGGAAAGGAAAGTGGATGCAAATATTAGCAAAAGAAGCTACTGTTTGTTCTATATACTTGAATGTCATCATATGTCATTGTATTGTCATTGTAGGTTGATGTTTTTCTTCTACCACATGCAGCTTCAAATATTCCCAAATTTTATACAGAAACATCATGAAGATAATATAGCTACCATTTAGGGAGGGCCTCTGATGTGCCAGACAATGGACAAGACACTCATTCCACACATACTAACTAATCCTTACATCAACACTTGAACTTGGTTTACTTAGCCTCATTTTACAGATGTGGTATCAAAACTTCCAGTTCATACCAGACTAGCAATGAAGGGTTAACCCAAACCACTTTCAGGCAGACAAGGGAGCAGGGGACAGAGGAGATTCAGTTATTTTCAGTAAATATGTACCAAGAATGTGCCAAGAATCAGGTGCTCACAGACTGTTCTCAAGAAATGTATATTAGAAGATAGTTTAGCTTACATGAAGAAAAAAATTTTTTTGTGGTTTTAGTCACGCTGAATTTTATGTATAAAACTCTGCCTCTTTTTCTGCTCAGTAGAGCACTTTGTACTCTTAGTGTTTCCCCAACTTAGGTTGTTTAATTCTCAATAAAACTCTTTCTTTCACCTTCAACAAAATGATAGATTTTTGTTCTATGACACAGATAAAGAAACTGAAGTTCAGAGAATTTCAATTTTGTTCCCAGTGTCTCTCAGCTAATAATTAGAAGACCCAAATATGAACATTTGCTTAGTCAACCTCTAATGCCTGAACAATACTTCACCTCCAATGCCCACGTTTGGACCAATATCCAGCTGACTGATTTGGGAGCACTTGTAAACCATTTCCCATGGGGATTCTATTCAGTAGCACTGTGATGGATACTAGAAATCTTTATTTAAAAAGCCTTGGTGGCACAATGGTTAAGCACTCTGCTGCTAACCTAGAGGTCGGTGGTTTGAACCCACCAGCCACTCCATGGGCGAAAGATGTGGCAGTCTACGTCCCTAAAGACTACAACCTTGCAAACCCTATGCAGCAGGTCTACTCTGTCCTACAGGGTTGCTATGAGTCAGAATCAACTTGACAGCAATGGGTTTGGTTTTATATTTTAAAAAATCACCCCAGATGATTTCAAGCCCAGCACAGAGATCTGTGGGTATTGCTAACACAGAAAGAGAGTGGGCACCACAGAGGCAGTGCCAGGACAGACAGCATTTCATGCAAGAATGAGTTCCTCCATCCTGCAGCATTCCCAGGCCACAGACTGCAAGCAGCTCTGTGCAGAGTCCAAAAGGAGGCTGTCACCACCAAGGCCTCCCTGATGACAGCCTTCTTTCACTCACCCAGGCTGATCCGTAGCCCACTCCTATTACCCTGACATGAGACGTAATCTGCTTCTTAGGAAAAGTTTAATTTTCCTGGATAATCTGAACAAAACATGTGGATTATACAGTAGATGACTTCTTGTATGAAATCTCTAATCACAAAACAGTTTCAACACCATTTACCTTCAGTCAAAATATCACAGCAAATTACTGTGAAACATTTAAGGGAAGCATTGCTCCCTCCTTCCGCCACTTTACCACTTCCTTTGATTCTATGTTACGACAGACCCCAATTTTTCTCTTCTCCCAAAATGCATTACACTTCATTCTACAGTAATTTCTGACAATGATAAAATAACAACAACAAAATGCTCCACAGGGAGTATTCTGCCTCACAATGATCTATTTTAATACTTTGCATCCAGGAATAAATTATACTTAAAAGCAGGGATTTATTTACTTACCCCCTGCTAGGTACTGACGGAACATAAAGCATACTCACATTGCTTCGTGATTTGCTGATATTCTTCACATCTAACTGCAGGCTATTTCCAATAATTGGGAGAGGAGTGGGGCCAGGTGGGAGCTTCCCTTTCCCATAGCTCTGTTTCCAGAGAGAAAAGAGAAGCAAACTGGAGAGACAGAGCACCACGACCATACCTAGAACCATTGAAGCCTTCTCTTTGCATTCAGGCAACTAGGAGCTTGAAATCGCAAGCTTTTATAACACTTCCTGCTAATGTAATTTATGACTCACTAAGTTATCTGGTGGCACAGTGGTTAAGAGTTTGGCTGCTAACCAAAAGGTCTGCAGTTCGAATCCACCAGCTGCTCCTTGGAAGCCCTATGGGGGTAGTTCTACTCTGTCCTGTAGGGTCACTATGAGTTGGCATCGACTCCACGGCAATAGGTTTGTTTTTTAACATAGGTAGTTACCGGTGAGCTCCAACTGCTAATCTCCTCTGTCATGCAATGAGTTCCTTCATAGCACAATTTTGCCTTATTCTTTGGGAAAACACTTTAGGAAAATTTTCCCTGAAGCCCTGAGAAGTTGTTACCTCTGCCCTAGTTCTTTGGAGAAATAACTTGGGTGGGGAGATTCCCGGGTTGTTTTCTACGTGGAGGGTTTGTTACTTTGGGCAGGAGATTCCTTGGATTGATTGATATCTCCTGGGTAAACTGTAACCAACTTGATGGTCTGATACTTTTGTCTGGCCTGGCAATTAACAAGATCTATTTTTAAAAAGCAAAATACAGCATTGGTAATATGCTTCCATTTGGCACGCATGGCAAACGAGACGCGGCTTATCTCAGGACAACGAATACACAATGCAAAAGTAATTTTTATTGGAGATCAAATGAGCTTTATTTCATGAAGAGAAATTTGAAATGGATCTTGAAGGATGGGGAACATTATAAGAGATAGGAATCAGGAAGGGTATGCCTGTTGTTTTAAGGAAGGGATGGATGGTGGCACAAAGGCCAGAAAGTGTCTGCGTTGTTCAGATGAGATTGGAGAGTCTCGCTCTGCAGTCTCATTGCCCTTTCTTCAGACTGGAATGAAACGGAGCTTGTAGAAGGGTGGTACAGTGCCTATGCCTCTGACAGCTGGGGTGATGTCAATGTCCTTCGGATCAACCAGAGGTTTCAAGGTAAAATGCTGTAAAATGGTGGTCAGGATTAAAAACAGCTCCATGTGGGCCAGGCCCTCTCCAGCACAAACTCTTTTTCCTAAAAATGACACAAAAATTACATATTCATTTAATCTTATGTCTGAATTAGCACACAGAGAAGCCTAAAAAAATATGGAATAAATTAACAAATCAATCTATGGCTTCTTCTACCTACACACAATTCTGGTTTCCTTCATTTCTTCAGCACGTATTTAAATCTGCATGCTATATGAGAAATTTCTTTACAGTCACAGTGGAACTGCTATGCTGAGGCTTGCCAGTGACATCTTTCTACACACTTACACACACACAAACACACACACACACAAAAAAAAACCGTCACCATTGGCATGATACACAGCACTATACTTTTCCATCTACCTCTGGCCCAATACTCAACAATAGATTTATTTCCCCTCATTTAGATTCTAGAGCATAATCCCAACTTGTCACTTCTCTGTTTAAAATAATTTTATGAGTTTACCATTGCCAGGTATAAAAGGAATATTACAAACTATCTGATAGCAATTTTTAGAGCCTCATTTCTTTCTACATTTTCCACCCATTTACCCTAAGTCCAGCCAATATTCACTATTCACCAATCTCCAAAGAGACTGCCGATTTCCAGTTTTATCTCAGATTCCAGTCATTCCGCTGACTGGAATGGCCTTCCCATCTGCTCTGCCTGCTGTTGTCCTCCACATCATTCTAGACCCAGCTCAGATGTCACGTATTCTAGGCAAACTTCTATGACATGCTCAGGGTGTACAATTCACTCCCGTATCTGTTTTCCACAACACTCATTAATGCTTCTAATGCTGCAGATTTCACGTGAAATTATTACTGGTCATGTGTCTCTCACAGACTGGAGTATAAACTCTTTAGGTAAAGCCTCAGAATCTTGTAATGATACAATGTCAGGACAGAAACCGGCCTGCAAGTCCTGTGAAACGAGTAGAAACCCCGAGTAAGCTCGTATGCGATAACAGGATCCAAAATACAGGAAGAAAGATAAGGAGTAGTATAGCAAGGGCTTGGTTCAGGATCATCCCTGAGCACTGCACATAATCATGGGCCACAATACCAAGGGTTGCTTGATAACCAGTTTCTTAGATACACAATCAGGAGCAAATCTCCTACTTCTGTCTCGTTTCAGTAACTTCTGTAGCAAAAGCTCTCACCCTCTACTTTTCCTCCTGCTTCTTTCAACTACGCTAAATAGTCTCCATTTCTCCCTCCTTTCAGATCCACTCTGAGGTGTTTTTATGCCTGCTCTGTGTCTGCTTTATGCCTGCTAATAGGATCGCTATGAGTCAGAATTGACTCGACGGCAATAGGTTTGGCTTTTGTTTTTTGTTTTTGTTTTTGTTTTTGTCTCTGCCCATGAAGCTGACATCTATGGATTGTGCCAGAAGTTTCCTTCTGCATTCTTGATAAATTCAGAAGATTTAATGTTGAAAATGCCAGAGTATTTACGCCTCCAATACCACCCTACCAGCCAGTTTTGGTAGTGGCTGTATTCCTCTACCTATAGCTGCATCTCCTGTGGAGGCATCCACTCTCTCTTTGCCAAAGATCTGTTCAGGTTCCAGTAACACCCTCCTTCCCTTGTCCCTTCTGACCTAGGAGGGTAACATGTTTCTGCTGATGCTAGTCTCTGAGTACTTCACCACACCTAGCTACTTCCCTTAATGCTGCCCACATCTCTATAAATAGCCTCATCTTTAAACACTCTTTGATTAACCTTTTTTAGTATGCCACTGTTTCTTTCTGTGCTTCTCACAAACGGAGTGAAGATAATCAAATGTTACTTCCTACAAGGAAATTTCCCTTACCCTCCAATTACTCTCTACTGCCCCGCACCCCCGTCCCCCAGCCCACCCCCTCAAAAAGGCCAGAGTCAGGAGTTCCTCTCTCTGGGCTACAACAGCCTCTAGCATAGCATTTTTGTACTGGAGTCTCATTGCCTGTTAATTCGTCTTCTTCTCTCTTAGAAAATCTATTTTTTATTCACATTTGTATCCCTGGAGCTGAGTATGGGACTGCTATGTATAAGGTGCTCAGTGAAGTTTACTGAGTGAACTGGCTTCTCAGGGCAAGTGAGATAAGCCTTAAATGAGCTTGGAATTCTAGGTGGAGCCCCTGGGAATCTCAGTGGTGAGTCAGGAGGCAGGAGAGAAATAACCCTGACTTTGAGAATGGTGCCTCTGGCCTCATACAGATGGTGATTTGAACAGCCCAGAGTAGCAGCCATGCAAAACCCTGCTTCATCTCACTTGACCCCTGAGGCATAGATGAAAATGAAGCTCACTTGCCTGCTGAAAAAGGCATGAAGTAGTAACTCTTCTTAAAGTTGCCACTTTCATCCAGGAAGTGGCCAGGATCAAACTGTTGTGGGTTAGGAAATTCTTTGGAGTCGTGCAGAACAGAAGTCAGAGATACCAGTATGGATGTGCCCTGATGTAAACAGAAACAGATAAACCACATAATAAAGAATATCAGGGAGCTGGAAGAAATGGGAAATCCCTCCTTTAATCCTTTTGTTTTATAGATGAGGAGCTTGAGGCACAAAAAAGAGAATTTATTTACCCCACTCCACAGAGAAAATTAATGAACAAGCCCAACAGGTCTTAAGCTATGGAATGCCCAGTCTAGGGTACTGTTCATTGACTCAAAGGCCATCCTCACCAGTGTGTAGTCGGATACAAGCACTTGCTTTGCCTAGAACCAAGGAAGCTCCCTGGAGTGCATTGCTCTTGACAACTAAATTTCAGCATTGTTTAACAGGGCCAATGTCACTAAAAATGCAGCTCATTCACTTTGAAACCATGTATGAGGCCCTCTTCAAAAACTTAGTAGCTGAGTGGCCATCTTGAAAAATCTTCACTTTCCTATTAAGTTGAGAAACTGGTGAGTATCCCCTTCTCCTGCTGTGCTCTTTCAGTTGTCACATGTTTTTGTGGAAAGGAGAGAGCATTTCTGATATCTAGTAGGGTTTTCTAGGTCCCTGGGTGGCACAAATGATTTGTACTTCACTACTAGCTAAAGGCTGGTGGTTCAAACACACTCAGACATGCCTCAGAAGACAAACCTGGTCATTTGCTTCCAAAAGGTCCCAGCCTTGAAAACCCTATGGAGCAGTTCTACTCTGTAAACATGGGGTCCCCATGAGTCAGAATTGAATCATCTGGCAATGAACAACAACAACTAACAGAAAGGTTGTCAGTTCAAACCTACTCAGCAGAAGAAAGGCCTGGCACTCTGCTTCCATAAAGAGTACAGCCAAGAAAACACGACGGAGAAGTTTTACTCTAACACGTAAGGTCGCCATGAGTCAGAATTGACTCAACAGCAACAGATTTGGTTTGGTTTTGGTAGTAGGGATTCACTAAGCTTGATATACAGGAATAGCTCATGTTATTGTACTTCACAGATATTACAGTCTTTACAAACTGAAAGTTTGTGGCAACCCTGCATTGAGCAAGTCTATTGGTGTCATTTTTCCAACAGCATGTGCTCACTTCATGTCTCTGTGTCACATTTTGATAATTCTCACAATATTTCAAACCTTTTCATTATTATTGTATCTGTTATGGTGATCTGTGATCAGTGGTCTTTGATGTTACTATTGTAATTGCTTTGGGGCACCACGAACCGTGCTCAGGTAAGACAGAGAACTTAATAAATGTTGTGCATCTTCTGACTGCTCCACCAACTGGCCTTTCGCCAGTCTCCCTCCCTCTCCTCGGTCCTCCCTATTCCCTGAGATACTATAGTATTGACATTAGGTCAGTTAATAACCCTACAACGGCCTCTAAGTGTTCAAGTGAAAGGAAGAGTTGCACTTTTCTCACTTTAAATCAAAAGCTAGAAATGATTAAGCTTAGTGAGGAAGGCATGTCGAAAGCCAAGATACTCTGAAAGCTAGGCCTCTTGCACCAGTTAGCCAACTTGTCAATGCGAAAGGAAAGTTCTTGAAGGAAATTAAAAGTGCTACTCCAGTGAACACACGAATGATAAGAAAGTGAAACAGCCTTATTGCTGATATGGAGAAAGTTTTAGTGGTCTGGATAGAAGATCAAACCAGCCACAAGATTCCCTTAAGCCAAAGGCTAATACAGAGCGAGGCCCTAATGCTCTTCAATTCTGTGAAGGCTGAGAGAGGTCAGGAAGCTGCAGAAGAAAAGTTTGAAGCTAGCAGAGGTTGGTTCATGAGGTTTAAGGAAAGAAGCCATCTCCATAACATAAAAGTGCCAGGTGAAGCAGCAAGTGCTGATATAGAAGCTGCAGCCAACTACCCGGAAGGTCTAGCTAAGATAATTGATGAAGGTGCCTACACTAAACAACAGATTTTCAATGTAGATCAAACAACCTTATGTTGGAAGAAGATGCCATCTAGGACTTTCGTAGCTAGAGAGGAGAAGTCAATGCCTGTCTTCTATGGACAGCTGACTCTTCTTGTTAGGGGCTAATGTAGTTGGTGACTTTAAGGTGAAGCCAATGCTCATTTACCATTCCAAAAATCCTAGAGCCCTTAAGAATTATGCTAAATCTACTCTGCCTGTGCTGTATAAATGGAACAACAAAGTCTGGATGACAGCACATCTGTTTACAACATCGTTCACTGAATATTTTAAGCCTACTGTTGAGATCTACTGCTCAGAAAAAAAGATTATTTTCAAAATATTACTGCTCATTGACAATGTACCTGGTTACCCAAGAGCTCTGATGGAGACGTACAAGGAGATTAATGTTGTTTTCATGCCTGCTAACACAACATCCATTCTGCAGCCATGGATCAAGGAGTCATTTCAACTTTCAAACTTTAGTTTTTAAGAAATACATTTCATAAGGCTATAGTTGCCATAGATAGTGATTCCTCTGATGGATCTGCGCAAAGTAAATTGAAAACCTTCTGGAAACGATTTACCATTCTAGATGCTATTAAGAACATTTGTGATTCATGGGAGGAGGTCCAAATATCAACATTAACAGGAGTTTGGAAGAAGTGGATTCCAACCCTCATGGATGACTTTGAGGGGTTCAAGACTTCAGTGAAGGAAGTAGCTGCAGATGTAGTGGAAATGGCAAGAGAACTAGAATTAGAAGTGGAGCCTGAAGATGTGACTGACTAGCGGCAATCTCATGATAAAACTTTAATGGATGAGGAGTTGCTTATTATCGATGAGCAAAGAAAGTAGTTTCCTGAGATGGACTCTACTCCTGGTGAAGATGTGGTGAACATTATTGAAATGACAACAAAGGATTTAGAATATTACATAAACTTAGTTCATAAAGCACTGGCAGGGTTTGAGAGAACTGACTCCAATTTTGAAAGAAGTTCTACGATGGGTAAAATGCTATCAAACAGCATCACATGCTACAGAGAAATCTTTTGTAAAGGAAGAGTCAATTAATGCAGCAAACCTCACTGTTGTCTTATTTTAAGAAATTTCCACAGCCACCCCAACCTTCAGCCGCCATCAACATTGAAACAAGACCCTCCACCAGCAAAAAGATTATGACTCACTGAAAGCTCAGATGATGGTTAGCATTTTTTTAACAATAAAGTATTTTTTAATTAACGTATAGACATTGTCTTTTTAGACCTAATGCTACTGCACACTTAATAGACTACAGTATAGTGTAAACATAACTTTTATATGCAGTGGGAAACCAAAAAATTCACACAACTCGCTTTATTGCGATACTCGCTTTACTGCGGTGGTCTGCAACGGACCAGCTGTATCTCCAAGATGTACCTGTATACCAAAACATAATGATTTTGAGTTTGGCTTTCAGAATCAATCAAATCCTTCTCTCTGTCAAAGTAAGCTCCGTGACCATGTTAAACTGTTTAACATTTCAGTGACTCAATTTCATTACTAGTAAAATGTAAACAAAAATACATTTACATTCGTTTATTGTAAATATACAATGAGATAATAAAATACAGAGAAAGAGTTCCATAGAATGAAGGGAAATGGCACTAGATAGATAACAAGTTTTGCAAGAAGGAATGAAGAACACTAGAAAGTGGTAAAAAATAAAAATAGTTTTTAAAACTTTTTAAAAGGTATTTCTACTTCCATACATAGTCAGTTGTCATCAACTCAATTCTGGCTCACAGTGACCCACATGTGTCAGAATAGAACTGCGTTTCAATTCATATACGTCACTAAATCTCCTTAAAATTATTGCCTTTTTAAAGTAAACATATTAACAAATATAGAACTAAAATATATGACAACATAAAGAGTGATAGGATATAAATAGCAATATATTGCTATAAATTTCTTAAATTTTTCATGAAGTAATAAATATTTTAACATACATTGTTACAAGTTAAAGACACATACAAATCTCTAGGATCAACCACCAAAAAACAAAAAAGGCATTGATGAGGTAAGGTTGAGAAAGAGGGGCATTTTAAAGATATTTTAAGATATAAGAGAATCAAGCATGTTCAAATGCTGATGGAAAGGAGCCAGTATGGAGGGAGAGGATGAAGATAAAGAAGAAAGAAGAAAAAATTATTTGAGGAGGATTCCTGAAAGAGCGAGAGGAAATGGACCCATGCCACAAGTAGAACAGTTTACTTTAATTAGAAGAGCGCTTCTTCTACAACACAGATATAAAAGAGAAATCAAAGAGCTTGGATGTAGCTAAAATTGCTAATCTAGTGGAAGGGAATTGTGTGAATTCTCTTCCAGTGGCTGTGATTTTCTGTCAAGTGGAAGTCCAAGTCACTGGAGAAAAAGAAGATGGTTGAAGGGCAGGAAGTTTGAGGAGGTTTCAGGGTTGAAAGAATCATTGTGGAGCATGGTGGGGCAAGATGAGTTTGGTTATACAGCAGGATTGTTGGGCAGGATGGAGAACATATTTGGGGTTGGTGAAAACAATACCAAAACATTTGGGGTCGGTGGCAATAATACCAACCTGCTGGGCTGTGTGGTCTTTTCTAGCAGGCATCGGCAGCCCAAGGTCAGGCAGTGAGGAAGGCGACTGTTGAGTTGGACTTTTGACAAGTAAGGGAAATAGATAATGGTGGAAAAGAGTGTAGGATTGTAGTAAGAGTAATATAAGGTAAGTAGAGACAGGGTTGGAATAATGAATCAGTACAGTGCGGACCTATCAATGGACTGAAAATCCTGTAGGAGTATAAGCACTACTATTTGCAAAATTGTGTCAACAAACTAGAAGGAAAGGAGTGTGTGGTCCAAGGGTGAGATGCCTGAGTTATGATTGTGCCATACCTGTAGAAGTTTATACAGTCTATAATTCTATTACTCTGATAATTGGTGACCTAAGGCTCTCAAGGAAGAGTGTAGATGAAACATCTCTCACCTTGGGAATAAAGTATTCTCTGAATTGAATGTCCTGGGTCACCGCATGAGGCAGGCTGGTGGGGAGAAGGTCAATGTATCTCTGTATCTCATGTATAACAGCTTCCGTGTAGGGCATGCTGCGCCTGTCCTTCATGCAGCAGCTCCGGTTTCTGCCAACCACACAGTAAATCTCTTCCTGGACTTTAGCTGGCAAGGCAAAAGTCAGAATACATGTGAAATGGAAAAGACCTGAAGTACCTTTGATATGATCCCTTAGTTGTTGTTAAATTGTGGTAGGTGGTGAGAAGGGGAAAATTATGTATCACTACCACCCTAAGTGGCAGAAATGGTTTGTACTCGACTGCTAACCTAAAGGTCAGCACTTCAAACCCACCCAGCGGTGCCATGGAAGAAAGACCTGCGGATCCGCTTCTGCAAAGATTACGGTCAAGGAAACCCTATGAAAGGGTTCTACTCTGTAACACTTGGGGTTGCCATGAGTTGGAATCAGTTTGACAGAACTGGGTTTTAGTTTTACCACTGTTAGTGAAAAAAGAAACAGAATTTCAGTTTCCTTTGCAAATCCATTAGAGACTTCTATACAGGTACATATAAAACACTATTGTACCAGGAAATTCATTTCTCGACTCTGATTTTCTATTGTGTGTACTTTTGTTTGATCACCTCAAGGATCTGGAATCTTGAAGAGTCACTAAAGATCATGTAGTTTAACCACTTTTTGTGTGTCAGTTTTTGTTTTAGATGTGCAAGTCTGAAAGGGTAAGAACTACCCAATGCAGGTTTAATTGTACTAGAAGTGTTTTAATGCACCAAAACACAAAACGTGATATAGTAGTGAAGGAAATATCCTTTTACATGCTTTTATTGAGAAGACTCAATAAAAAAGGGACAGAATAAATGAAAAAGTTGCCTTTGCAAGAGAAGTTATGTTTGTGAGGAAATATTTGTTTATTCAAAAAGTATATTTGTAATAATTTTTTTATTTGGATATAGCTCTTTAAAACTTGGAAAGTGAGTCTCTTGGAGAATGACTGTAACTTTGTTAAATGAATCCCTACAGTGAAAGTGCACTTGAATAGAAATACCTTTTGACAAAAGGCATATCAGGTGAGACATTTTTGGAGAAAGAAGAGAGAACAGTTCTTTCCAGATCCTAAGACAACTCTACTCACCTTAACTTTCCCAACCCTAATCAAGGACACTGTACCATATAGCTAGGATAACCATGACCTCTGCCCTTTAAATCTCTGGTATTGTTTAGATATTTCATTATCATTTTTTACCGTAGTCTAATTTGAATTGAATTCATCCAATAGTAGGTAGATGTAATGGTGAACAATTTTCTCACATATAGTCTAGGCAGGTAAATGGTTACCAGTGTGGTCTGCAATTTTCTACCTGGAATGTAATCATGGCCACCACCTGTGATCATACCTGCGATCTCAGGATGCTTCAACAAGAGCAGGAGTCCATATCTCAGTGTGGTGCTCATTGTTGCCGTTCCCGCACTAAACATATCCAATACTGTAATGACTAAGTTTTCCACGGTGAATTCAGACTGTTTATTGTGTTTTTCCTAGCAATGATATGTTATAATTAATTAATAAATAAAAATCCTTAGAGGTAATGTAAAATAGCGCAAAATACCATCATTATCTGGTGAATTAAGCCAGACATCAGAGGGTTGTATAGCTGAAGATAATTAGATGAGTTGTTAGGAGTCCTTTAAACTGCTAAGACATAAGCAGAGTTAAACATTTCCAAGAAGTCTTCTTTGATTCCGCTTTCTCACCCAGTAGAGCCAACTGTTCTTGTTAGCTGCCTTCCTCTGAGTTGCCCCTGACTCATGGCAACCCCATGCACAAGGGGATCAGACCGTTTTGATACATGGGGTTTCACTGGCTGATTTTCAGAAGTAGATCATCAGGTCTTTTTTTCTAGTCTGTGTTAGTCTGGAAGCTTCGCTGAAAACTGTTCATCGTCATAGCAACACACAAATCTCCACTGACAGATGAGCAGTGGCTGTGCTTGAAGTGCATTGGCCGGGAATTGAACCAAAGTCTCCTACATGGAATGTGAGTATTGTACTGCTGAACTACCACTGGCCTTGTAGAGCCAAAGAGCTCCTCTGTAATTTCTTTCAAATAATTTTTATCAAGTTATCACTACTAATCTCTTCCAATTCTAACATCTACTGTCTATCAGATCTAAATTTCTCACTCAAGCCTCTAGAAATTGCATCTTCACAAACTGCATCACGATCCCCAATTACATTGCTCCAAACATGCTGGTCATTACACCCACCATAATTTCTCAATTCCAATCAATATAACCTTTTTGAAAATTCTACGCACTTGATCAAGGCACTTACCATTCCCTAGACCTATGTTGTCCTCCCTGTGAATCTGAACTAGAGCTTCCTCAAAACCTACCTCATTTGTGAAGATCTCCTAAAGTATTTCCTAAGTGCTTCATTTGTTACATCTTTCATTCGTGGAACTCATGTTAAGTACCATGGTATTCTGATTATCATTATTCTCGAATGTATAGATGTGTTTGTGTGTTTGCATTTTTCAGTCTACCCCCAAATAAAGAATCAGCTTTAATGTGGGAATTTTAAAACTTATAAGTATTTTCCAGTGAGCATTTAGAGATCTCCCAAAACACTCAGTATGGTTTGCATAAGCAACAGGTTGCACAAGCAATTCATATATCTTTAAGAAGAAACATTTGTGTTAATATTCAAATTTTAATAGGAAGAACAAATCTAATCCAGGAGTCACATCACCCTCAAAGATGAAGTAGCAAATCAAAATTCACATAATACCTGTTCCATTTTAATCAGGAAGTAGTCAATAAAGTCCCGAGGGTTATTGAGATCCAGGGATTTTTGGTGTTCCTTTATTTTCTCTAAAATAAACTTTTTATGGTAATCAATATTTTTAAATAATTTTTTATGACTTCCTGGGAGATAATGTATGAAAAAAGGGAAAGCATCGTAGAGCTGAAAGAGGAAAAAAATCATTCATTAATTTACTCAGCAAACATTTACAGACCCATATCATGTATTAAACACTTTGCTAGCAATACAGATGAATAAGTCATGTTTCCTGTTTTAGAAAATTCTTGGAATTTGAAAGAGAAGTCACTGATAAGATGGCTAGATTTACAGTATGCACCATTTAAAAAGCATTTCAGAACTATTTTATTTACTAACTATAACTCTCTGAAGGAATTCAGGAATGTACCACTGTTGTCATCTCTTTCCAAATGAGGATATTGATATTAGAAAGGTTAGTCAACAATACTAAGACGCCAAACTAGTGATGTTGGAGCTAAAAACTCAGGGTTTATCCTAGTAAACCATACACTGTATTTCTCCAGGGAGTAACCTAAAAAATTATCAGCGCTCATTCACTTCTTTTGTAATGAAGAATCAGTGAATCAGAAAGATTAAAGAAGTGCCCAATTCAGGACTTCCGGCAACATGGCGCTCACGCCATCCCTCCACAGCAAAGTTCCGAGAAACTAAGCCAAACACAGAAAACAGCAATCCTGAAACCCTAAACATCAAATGAAGAGATAAAGAACTCAGTCAAGCACCAAATGGAATAAGAAACTGAGAGAGAACAGAGAGCGAGGAGACATACATGGAGAGGTCCCCTATCAGCTAATGCAGCACGGATCCGCCATCTTGTATTCCTGTCAGATACTAGCAAATAAGAAGTACGAGAAATCAGCTTCATGGAGCTTCCAGCAGGAGACAGAACAACCAGAAACTGTCAATATACGCTTTCCCAACCCCCACCCTTCTTCACCCCTACGCAGCCTCCTCTGCTTCCTGCGGCCACAGTCTCTTGGCCAGGAAGCACCAGTTGCTTGGATTCCACCCACTCGCACTGGCCGACTCCCTGAGTGCCATTTGTTGGCTGCTGGTGTTGCTTTTTTCCACTTCTTTTGATTTCTTCCTTACCTCTCACCACCTCCTCCTCCTTTTGCTCTAATACCGGGCTCCGTGCACCATCTTTGCTTTTTCCTGAGGGGCTGTGGAGCTCTGTTCGAGTGTGGAACTACTTCCCGGTCCGTGCTGCCGCACTGGTGGGATCCCAGAGCTTTTTGATTGTTTGTTTTCAATTGTTTGTTTGTTTTCTTTTTCTTTTCTTGAATTGGGAGCCCCTTCTAGCCGGGCGGTGCTGCATGACTTGGGACCTACCCCCTCAGCTTGTGCAGATGGCCCCCTGAGGGCATTTCTTTTTTCATGTTTTTTTTTTTTTTTTCTGTTTTTTGGGGGAGGTTTCTTATTCTTTTTTTAATAATTTGTTTTCTTTTCGCTCTTTTCCCCCCTTTGTCTTTCTTCATTACTCAGTTTCTTGTCTCTCTATACCTTCCTTCTCTTCCTATCCCCTGGAAACCTGGTACTGAATACCTCTGTGCCTCCTAGCCAGGCTATACTTCAACACCTGGGAACAACTTCCCAAGACCTCGTAGCCACACCGGTGAGAACACTGGGAGCTTTGCTGTTCTTTTCCCTTTCTGATTTTTATTTATTCATTCTTTTCTTTTCTTTTTTTTTTTTTTCTTCCTCTTTTTGTTTTTCTCCATTTCATAGTCTCTCATCTCTCTACTCCAACGGGAAGCTCCCCTAACACTTTTTTGTTTCTTTGTATGTTTTTGGCTCCTGTTCCTCTCTCCTCTTTCATACCCATCTTAGCGCCACACATCACAATCTCCCCCCTCTATCCTGCCAACCTGCACTGTGCGCTTGATATCACACCACCAAGCAGCACAGGCAAGGCCTACTGGAACCTGCCCTGCACTGATTACTGAGCTGCTCTGGTGGCTGTTCTAAGTGCCACAAGCAACCCATCCCAGCAACTACTCTTCAGCTGGACCTGCTCTGCTGTACCATATCTGAGCAACTGGCCCTGTCAATTGGAGAAGGAGGCGAAATGTAACATGCCACAGACAAGCAAACAACAAAGAACACACAGCCCGCCTGCTCAGACATAGCCAAATTTTTGAAAAAGGGACAAAACTAACAAATCTACAATCAATAAATGAGAAAAATAACTACCGAATGCCCTGAAGACAGCAGACAATATCAAAACATTTACAAAAACAGGACAGGATGGTTCCAGTAGGTGTCCAAAATAAAACACCAGATGACTTTCCAGTAGAAGAAAAGGCACTAGAACTACCTGATAGGGTATTCAAGTCTCTAATACTCAGAATTATCCAAGAGTTGAAGCAAAAAGCAGACAAAAATGAGGAAAAATAGACAAATTCATGAAAAATACAGACAAAAAACGGAAGAATTCAAGAAAATAATGCAGGAACAAAATGCCAAAATAAATTCACAACTAGAAATTATACCAAAACAACAATTAGAAATCCAAAAGATAAACAACAAGATTTCAGAAATGGACAATGTCCTAGAAGGGCTGAGGAGCAGATCTGAAATGGTGGAAGACAGGATCAGTGGAATTGAAGACAAACACTTAGGTATGACTGTGTCTGAGGAAAAATCAGAAAAAAGATCAAAGAAAAATGAAGAGAACTTGACAATTATGTGGGATACAATCAAAAGCAAAAATGAGTGAGTGATTGGAGTCCCAGAACAGGGGAGAAAACAGAAGACACAGAGAGGATCATTGAAGAACTGCTGAATGAAAACTTCCCCAATATCATGAAAGATGAAAAGTTGACAATTCAAGAAGCTCAACGAACCCCATATAAGATAGACCCCAAAAGAAAATCAACAAGGCATATCATAATCACACTCACTAAAACCAAAGACAAACAAAGAATCCTGAAAGCAGCTCAAGAAAAACAAAAACTCACATACAGAGGAGAAACAATAAGACTAAGCTCGGATTATTCGGTAGAAACCATGCAGGCAAGAAGGCAATTGGAAGACATATATAAAACCTTGAAAGAAAAAAATTGCCAGCCAAGAATAATATATCATGCAAAACTCTCGTTCAAATATGATGGTGAAATTAGGTCATTTCCAGATAAACAGAAATTAAGGGACTACGAAAAAAACAAACCAAACTTACGAGACTTATTAAAGGATGTCCTTTGATCTGAGAACAAACAATATCAGACCACAGGCTGAATATAGAACACAAGATTGTACTAGCCAGATACCAACCTAGGAAATGAACTCTTCAGGACTATGCAAAACCAAAAGAATTACAAAAGGGAACCAGAGAGGTTAATCTGTAAACGGCAACAGCATCAGAACAATAAAAGAGGGAGAATAAAAGGTGTAGATATAGAACCTTCTAATGGAGAGGAAATCAAGTGATACCAAGTAATAATAGACTGGTTCAAATCTAGGAAGATACAGGTAAATTTCAAGAT